GTTTAATCTAATCTTTCAATGCTTTCTTGAAGGGAAAATGGCCATTTATCCCAACCGTACAGCCCGTCCAAAACACAAAATGAACACCTTACTACGTTTTCACAACAAAATTGCTCATGTTTACTTAGTGTTCTACGATTAACTTGATAACTGCTCTTTGACCTTAAGACAAGTGAACTAATTTCGTGGCAGACAGAGAAACACACACACACACATGCACACAATATATAATATCCTATTGTACGTTTATCAAGGCTGTTGCTTGAATGTTATGGAAAAGTGCAGTTTTGCTGTAAGCGTCTAATTAAGGCTACTATCCGATTACAAAACGGCTATGGACTCTATGCAGTCGAAGCTGCTAAGGTACTCTGAGCCCAGCAAGTTTGGCTTTGTGGGCGAACTTCTGGCAGGAGATGTTTTTTCCTCGAAAATGGTGATTCATCCATCTGATTTCTAACACTTATCTTTGCCAGGTACTTGAATTATTTGTTCCGCTTCTAGGACCACCTCGTTTGTTTCCTAGCTGGAACACTCGCATTGGGCACTCTCAATGGTTTACCAAAAAAGCATTTGGAGATAGCAGAAGTTGTTTTTTCCTAGTTCCATTGTTCTTTTACTTTCTGAGGGATCTTGGTACCGATACCCAAAGTCAAAATTTGTTTTTTTTTTATTGCAGAGTCTCGGCAGAGGCTGCCAGGCGATGTACGAAAATCCAACAGGCTTAGGACCAGAGATCGCATATTTCAATATGTTGCCCGGTCAGCATGAGGATCTTTCAATTAAGGTACTTATCCTCCCAAGTGCAGAATTCCGCATACCCCAAAAACTTTAGCCTCTTGATGCCCATTCTCTTTTGAGACCAGAAGCGATTGAAGCCTGGTTTTACCTCTACAGGATCACAGGTATATGACTCCGGTGCCTGTTTATGTTCGTGCTCATTAATTGAAATTTAGGTAACAAAACCTATCAAGACTGGGGATGGCGAGCTTTTGAAGCAATTGAAAAGTATGCAAGAGTTCGTAACGGTTACTCTTCAGTGAAAAGCGTTAAGAAAATACCGGTCTCCTATAGGTTGGTGCTACGCGATTATTTAGCTAACTGGAAGATATTTGTTCATTTGTAATGCATGTAATAGTGCTTCATTGCTAATGTTTTTGATAGGTATGTCTGTACTCTTTGGTTTAGAGATCTGATGGAGTCATTTTTTCTTGCTGAAACCCTCAAGTATCTCTACCTTTTATTTGCCGATGATCAGAAGGAGTTATTTCCATTGGATAAATGGGTGTTCAACAGCGAAGCTCATCCTCTGCCAATTCATGAATATTGAAAATACACCAAGAAAAGCACTAGTTTTCTGTCTCAACAGTTCTGTGGAGCTATGAGGTTTGCACTTTGTACAATATTTTCCTCACTCTAAAATAGCATTTTTCTTTTCCATATCTTGGATAAAATAAACTCAGCAAGTTCGTATTCAATGAGACCGGAAGCTTGCTCAAAGCTCACGAGTCTATTATACTCATATGTCTGCGAAAGTTAAAACCAGCTTAAATTTCAAAAAGCACTGCGCAGTTATTGTATTTGCCTTCACCTAAGTTTTCTCGCCTTTGTGCTTCCTCACTCTTGCATTGTCTAAGTTTTTTTCTAGCTTTTCTAAACTGTCGAGAAGGAATCGAAATTCGATACATAAAATATCTGGTCGGTCAATGAAAGACTATTTTACGTGTTGGCAATCATACATGCGATACGGTGAGAATT